TGTGAATTGTTATAGGTTTTAATTGTATATTTATTTATTGTTTTAACATGTTGTGAGCCGCTCAGAGTCCCCCATTGGGGGGAGATGGGTGGGGGACAAATCTAATAAATAAATAAATTTGTGACTTGAAATCTCTTTGTTTACAAGTGTTCTTGAAAAAGCATAAGTATTTCTTGATCTTTAGTTGTATGCTAATGTGAATATGTAATAAAATACAGAAGCTACATTTTAATCTTCAAGAGCATGTGTCATCTTTAATTCAAGAGTTTCACAAATTTACTTCCCTTTGTATGTGTGGCCTAATTACTTCCAAATGATATGAAGGTTATGGATTATGAGCCTGGAGGAGATCTACTCTCATTCTTAAACAGATACGAGGATCAACTGGATGAAAGCACAGTACAGTTTTATCTATCAGAATTAGTTTTGGCCATTCACAGTGTTCATCAAATGGGTTATGTCCATCGGTGAGTTTCTCAGTTTCGCATCTGTATACTTAACCAAACATAAAAAATAACGAATTGCTTTGTAAATGTAACCATTGTGTAACTTTAGGCCTTTCTTTGATCATTCCATCATGTGCTGCCAAGTTGTTAAATTGGCCTTCTTGGCAAGTAAATTTCAGTAACTTCATTTTTTGAGACTCAGAATATAGAATAAAGTTGGAGTAAGAGGTATGAACAATACGAAAGCTATTGAGGATGATAAAGGAAGCCATATTTACAATTTTTAGCTTTGGATGGAGTTAAACAGTTCTGAGGAGAGTATAAATATCTCTGACTGAGTTCACCCATAGAACTAAGCTTTTAATATGGTTATGGTTGTTGTGTGAACCCAGCCTGCTTCTGATAAAATATATCTTGTAGCAGGAAATTGTTCTGAAGATCAGGAACATCTTTTTTGATTACTTATCATTTTAATGGTTTCAGTAGTGTGATCGGGCAAGCAATTTTAATTTCAGAAAGAGTTTTATTGATTCATCCCTTACCCTGTTTATGTCTTACAGAGACGTTAAGCCAGAGAATATCCTCATTGACAGAACAGGGCATATCAAGCTGGTTGATTTTGGTTCTGCTGCCAGAATGACAGTGGATAGAATGGTAATAAAGATTTTTGGGCTACCCATAAGAAATGGAGAAATTAAAGACTGACATTTAATCTTGGATATTGCCATTGGTTGTAATTGTGTCACAGAGTTACACAGATGATTGGTAACGATCTTGGAAAAGCAACAACTAGACCAAATGAAATTGGCCTGAAAGCTAAATTCTTAAAATAAGCATCTGTCTAATATTCTGATTAATCCATGGCTACAGTCAAACACCATGATATTGCAGTGACTCTACCATGATGCTGAACTACAGCATCTGGATATCCAACCAGCATTGCCAGTGATTAGAGAGAGTTATAGGGAAGCAGCATTTGATGACTATAGGTTGGGAACTGCATGATTCAATGCAATATGAATGGGCCCTTCCCTTCTCTTTCCCTTATTAGTATTTTTTTTTTTGGTTGAAGTTGGTATTCTTTTTTCTTTTAAATTACCATGCTTATTCCTGAAGGGAACATCTGTCTGTCAGCTGAAATAAACTGAAGCTGTGGGCGATATCGATCATGGATAGTTCCTGCCCTGGTCTTTGAGTTTAATGGTGTGCACGCTAATTTGGGAAAAAAAATCAAATGAGTAATTAGAGAAGCTGAGGTTATGGATGGTAAATAATGGTGGTTTTGATTACAGTTAGAACTGCTTGTCTTTTATGGTGGTAAGAAAGACCTCTTGATTAAACTAATTGAGTTGATATGATTTTACATATTGAATGAGTACTAGGTAAAAACTGTTGGTTTCCATTTCTACTGACCTTGAGTAATTTTTTTAACAATGCAAAATTCTAATTAAAATATTATTAGCTTCCTTTGCTTTTTCTTAAGCCAGCTGGAATTTTACTTTACTTACACGACCACACTGAATAAAGGATAGAAAAGAAAATTAATTTTTAAATTGTGTTCCAAAGAAATTTGGGAGTTTCTTAAAAAGACGAGAGCTTCCTTCTCAAGTAACATGGGGCAGACCGGTTTTTGTGAAGAAATCAAGACTCAAAATTTATCTTCTGAAGAGAGCATTTGGTTTTACTTATTATTTATTACTAGAGCTTACATGCTGCGCCATTTCCAGAGACTCAGTGCAGCTTACAGTATAATAAGTGGTTTACAATATAACACTAAAACCGAAAATTAATATAGTTACAAACAATGGCCACAATCCAAGTGTAACATCATTTTGTGTTCAGGTCCCTTTCTGAAGAGCCGTGCTTTTATAGTCCTCCAAAAATTTAGTAGTGAGGAGGTAGTCCAGATATCTGGGGATAAGTTATTCCAAAGAATAGGGAACATCAGCAAGGATATTTGCCAGGATTCAAGTTAGATAGTAATGAGGACAGTGTGTCATTTGTCAACTGTGTTCACACTTCGCTTTTGGATTAGTATGTATATATCCAGCCAATTGAGGTATATTCAGCAGTCCAATGTATAAAGGAAAACATGGGCTTAATGCAGAGACAGGCAGGCCAAAGACCATCCTTTGTGTTTTGGAAAGCAGGGTGGTGCTTCACTCCAAAAAGTGGGTAAGGACAAGTTGACAAGGCTAAGGCAATTTTTTAAAAATGTAATTTAAAGCTAATTTAAGTG